GTGTTAAAATCTATTTTAAAAAATTTACAAAACTAAACATCCTACAGTATTTTTACAGTCTTTATTTTACAGTTAAAATATATGTTTATCAAATAAAGTCTGATGTTACAACTAATTAGTGATCCCTTTAAAAAAAACAAATCGAACCCTTTTAGTCACAGAAATTTAAAAGAAACGTGGTGTTTAAGTAAGGTCCGTCTCATTCGTCTCTGTCCTCAGCTCCCATCATGGAGAACCACGAGACTCCAGCCAAGGATGGGAGCATGGACGGGGCAGCCAGAGTCATTGCCAAGGAGGACATCATCACCACGATAACGACGGAGAGAAAGGCAGAGGAGGAGAAGGCAGAGCAGGAGGATTTTCTGAGAGACACGACAGAACCCGCTCCAACGACACCGCTCAGATACGACACAAAGGTAAACCACTGTCCAACATTTTCACTTCAGAGGGGCTTTTAAAATGATCTCAGACTGTTTGGATTTTGGTTTAAGGTGTCAAATGAAAGAGTCAGATGAAGGTGCTATGGTTGCCTTTTTAAGCCTTTATTTCTGTTTGTTTTGTTTCCTTATAAAACGTCAGAATTTTCCAGTCTCTGCCGTAGACAGGCCTTTGTGCTTCTCATCTTCTGTTGGCTTTACTAATCAGCTTTTCTTTTCTTGTCCTTCCTTTGACCCCACACTTTACTCGTGTGTGCTCATGCGTGCTCCCCTCCTTCCCCTCCGCTCCTCTCTCTGCGCACACATCATCTCCCCGTTGACATTTCCCTCCATCAGCGCTCCCCTCATCTGTACACATGCGACCCCCTCCGCTCTGAGCGTTCGCTGCCCTCATCTCCCGTTTCATCAAACAAAGTGCGGCGCAGGCGCAGGGAGAGCCAGCGGGCCTCGTCCGTCAGCCCGGCCAAGAGCGGCGCGGGTCGCTGCCGGCGGCAAGCCCGCGCCGAGCACAAGGCCGCCCTGTTGAAGGAGCAGGCGCTGCTGCTGTCGGCCCGCAGGCAGAGGCTGGAGCAGGGGAAGCGCCACGGCGGCACTCTCTTCTCGTTCTCCCTGCACCTGCCCGACCTGTCCTCCATCCTGGACGAGGATGGCTACCTCACCTTCCCCGATCTGTCCGAGATGCGCTTCCTCCCCGAGTGTGCGCAGAGCTTCCTGCCCATAAAGTCACCGTCYCTCATCCCCTGCTTCCTCTTCATCTTCTTCTTCCTGCTGTCTACTTCCTTCTCCGTCCCCTACGCCCTCACCCTGTCCTTCCCACTGGCGCTGTGCCTCTGCTACCTGGAGCCCAAGGCAGCCTCCCTGACCGCCTCCATAGCCCAGAGCTACCATGAACATGACAGTTCAGAGGAAGAGGAGGTGTGTGTGCGTGTACGCCTGTGTGTTCCAGTACCCACCTCTATCTCAGAATGACGGTCCATTACACTCGTTAACACCCAATCCTGTCCTGCTTCACCAGTTCAGAGCCGACCTGGACACAGTGTGTGTCCCAGTGTCTTGTCAGTCTCCTACTTTCAGAACCTCATCTCTGCTCGGTCGCAAGCTTATCCTGTAGAAATCATCATCATCATCATCATCACAGCTCCACAGACAAACCTGCAAGTCTCATAGTTTTATGTTTGATTGGCTGCTTCATCTTAAATGAGAGGGTTAGACACAAAAAGTGGGGTTGTTTTACTTGCATGGGTGTCAAATATATTCAYCATCACAGATATTTTATCATAAAATATCGCTTAAGAGAGTTTTTATTAGAAGATATCTATCTTCATTTTCATGGCTTTGTGCCAAACCCATCTCAGTGTTAACCAATCATGTTCATGTTTTAATTAAAACCGTTCAAACGGGGTTTAGTCACATCAGTCGCATGTAAAAACTTCCATATTTATCTTTGCTCTCAGTCTCTCTGCATCGCAGGCTGATTCCACCTAAGCTGCACAAATTAAAGGGAATCATTTAAATCGAATAGCTTCTGAAAAGAGCTCTTCATGTATCAGTGAGTGAGAGTCCTGGGTAAAGTCAAAATTAAAAACAATTTTCTACCAAGCAGCACACTTTTGGATGATCGGTGTGTGATGTAACACACTGTGATGCAGTGAGACAGTAACATTCACATCATCCACAGTGTTTGACATGCATGAAGAGGAGGGGAGGGCCTGAAAGTCAGGTTACTGTTCGGCCACAAAATCATAAGATTTCATTGAAGTTCGTCCTGCAACTGCTAAAAAATAATACAAGGATCTCTGTATCTACCAGCCTTTCCAAATTTAGCATCAACTCATTTAAATGTCAAAGTGACCGACTGATGGTTTCAACTTCCTCTGAGTCTGTTTTGCTTGCTTATTTGAATTTATTCTTTGCTTTTTTATCTTTTGTTGTCTTTCAGATCTTATCTGTAGTGTTGTTGTTAGCGTTTAGCTTACAGTTCCGACAATCAAAGCATCTCCATTTGTCCCATTTGTGGTTATGCAGATTCATTATTGGTAATAAATGTATTTTTTTAAATGTTTACATGTTGGGTCCTTCTCGTTTTTCTTACTTGCAACTCGGATTGTTTTGGTTTGGTCTGCAAATGCAGACTGACAGCGAGCACACAGACTTTGCCTTTGATGGAGAGATGACTGCCACAGAGGTTTGTACATCCATACCAAAATATTATTTCAGGCATAAAGACATTTTTAAAAAAGGCTTATTGTCACTGAAATATTATAAAGAATGTGTGTGAACCCAAAGTCCTGTGTGACATGCATGCACTTGGTTTTGTTCTGCACATTTAGTTCTTGTTTTTGTTTTGTTGTTTTTTATTTGATTGTAAAAACGCATCCTTGTTTTTGCAACATCTTCCTATTTTAAAATGTTTTTTTCTGTTAGTTTTACTACAGTCAGTGTTGTTATATATGTTTTATATAATGTGAGCTTCATTACACTTAAAATCTTTAATTTTTACCAATTAACATGTAAAATAACATCAGCAGACCAGCAGCAGTAGAAACATCTCATGTTTAGCTGTTAGCAACGATTAGCAAGATTTGAATAAATACTGTTCAATAGAGGAGAACCAACAATCGATCAGGTTCCTTTCCTCATTTCCAGCTCTTTGCTGCTCCCCCTGTGTTCCTTTTGTGATTTTTATTTTTAATTTTTTCATCTGCATTTCTTCTCTTTAATGACTCGTTGCTGCTCTGTCTCACTGTCTCTGTGCTTCCCTCTTTACCCGCCGTCAGTCGGAAGCAGATGAGGACTCTGAGATGCGGACTCAGGTACACCGGGGTGGTCTCACGGCCCCGCTCAGTGCATCGTAACGTTGTTAGATGCACTAAGAAAATGTTCCCTTCCTATCGTCCTGGCTTTAATGTTGCTGCTGCTCCTCATACACACACATCATACACCACAATAAACTGACTTCATCTCTCAAACTGCTGCTGCTGCTTCCAAAAAAATCTGCAATTCCACCTACCAAGTGCTTTATTTTTATTTGTTTAATATTTTTTATGGGGGAATCATGCCAGGGTTTTATAGTTTTTAAGTTGTATTTTTATCCATTGCGTGTACTTTGAGTGAAATGTTTTCCATCATCTCATTTCTCATTTGAACTGTGAAAGACAAAACTCCCATTTTTTAAATTTCCCAAACAAGAGCTGGAATTTAACATTCTGTTGCACCTACCCCTCTTTTTTTACAATTCTTCTTCCCTTTTCTTGTCTTTTCAGTATAGTTTCATAAGACGAGTAAAAGGGGAAAACGTTTTTATCAGACATAGTAATCTGATGCTAGAGGTTGGTAAGCAAAACAGTGCATGTCTGACAAATGCATGCAGGTGATTTTTAGGTATGAATAAACTTGGATGATAAACAGACAGCGCTTAAATCTGTGTAATCTGTTCCAGATGCAGTGTTTTTAACTTTCCCGTGTGAACTAATGTAGTTTTCAAATACTTTAAAAGCTAAATATAACAAAAATGAAAGTGAAGTAATTCAACTCTAGTGAAATGTGGGAGTGTTGTGTTTACCTGAACCAGTAAAACTAACTGTGAATTTATGCATGCTACCATTTCATTGAGTTATGCTGGTCTTAAATGCTCCTGAAGCATTTAAGTACAAGCAACATCATCATTTGCCGTGCCATGTTTTTCATTTTATTTTATTTTGTTTTATTTTATTTTATTTATTTGGCCAGATGCTGCACAGGTAGCCTGCAGAGCCTTCTAAACAGCAAAAAACAAAAGGAATCAAATAATGCAACAGATTTAAGTCTGCAGAAGACCACATTTTGTTTCAATTCTCTGTAACACATTGGAAATGCAAGCTACCGATGCGTGCGTAAAGCATGACCGTCGTTCCCGTTGCACTGCTCCTTCCCCTCATCTCCCTGTGTCATGGTTCACCGGCCACTGCAGGACACAGAGCCACCCCCCGAGGTGGTCAAGCACCAGACCAACGTCAGCGAACTGAAGCGCTCCTTCCTAGAAACGGGCGGCGGCAGCAGCGGCGGTGTGCCGGGTCTGACAGAATGGGAGAAGAGACTCTCCTCGTCGCCTCTACGCTCACCCAGAGGAGACGAAGCACCGATGATAGAGCCGCTGGAGCCACAGGATGTAAGCTGCAGACTGAGTGACGGCATGTCTGAAGGGTGGCCTCACCGACGAGATGTTCAGTGTTTCTTAAACGATTTTTTTGGACTTTTCACTTATGGTTAGAGGATATTTGGCAGCTTTAAGTTTTCTTTAAAATGATCTTAAACACTTTTGTATCTTTGATTTAGAAACATCTTGTAATATATCTTCAAATGTAACCAATTTGGATATTTTAGGTCTCCTCCTTTTTTACTAATTACAAAGAGCAGAATTCACACATCTCTTTTTGTTTGTTTGAACAAGTTTTCCCCTTTATTTCTTGCCATTTAGCTTTAAAGATTCATAGTTTCTGTTTTATCACTTGATGTTAAAGGCCTGATAAACAGTAGGTTGCTCCTAATCTCTTCCATAATTACCTTTATTATTTGTATTTATTACTGAATTCAGTCATTTTCCACTTCTCAGTTTTCATGCCTGAGCCACAAGTTTCAGTTCAGGAATTTAAAAAAAAAGCCACTGCTTCTCAAATGCTTTAGGTGTATATTAAAAAAAATTTTTATTATTATTAAAAACTCATTTGGAGTTTGCACATGAATAAAGTTAAATTTTCCAATCCAGTAACCTTTATATAAAATATGAGGACGGACTTTTTTTTGGATATTAATCTCTAAATGTCTTTAATTGATGTGTTTAATTTGTGTTTTTTCCTTTTGACTAACAAAGTACCAGCACCTGGTTATGATATGGATTTATCACGGTAATAGATGGTTGACACTTTTATCTCCCTTAGCTGAGCTTATGCAGGACTAATGAGCAGCAATAATAACTTTTTCACAACTGGACTGTTGGACATCAGATGTCTCAAATTACCGAACCGTCTTTCAGATACGGAACATCCTTGTTTATTTGTTACGTTCAGCAAAGCTTCCTGCATATATATGACCCCTGTGTTTGTTTTTCTCTGCAGACTAAAGATGAGCAGCCAACTGGAGATGAGAAAAAAGAGGAGGTGGGACCTAAAGGCATCACGGTAAGCTGCTTGCTGTTAGTCATCCCTGAAAATTTGGAAACTTTATTGTTGGTGTCGTGTTACTTTTTTCCTTCAGTATGTTCACAGCTCTGCTTGTAAGTGTTTTTTCTCTTTATATGCACAGTAAAATAAAAAAAAGAGCCATTTTTGTTTATTTGACTTAAAAAATTCTTATTGTTACCTAAATAAAAGCTAAATCTAAAATAATCCACTCYGCATCAAATTTCCATAATCTCTGATCAAAGTTCAACTTGATCCACTTACTTGTGAAGCTTGACCTGTCTGTGTCGTTTCTATATGAGTGTTCACTCTGTAAAGCCTCTTTCCACCCTGTGCTGTTTGTGTGACGCCCTCTGTCCATTATCCTTTTCCAATAAGTCAAGTGTCTCCCCAGGCGACAGGATATCTGGTGAAATATGTGGCAGATAGTGTTGTAACAGATGGGGCCACCTCCTCTGGGCCTCACGGGATTAGTTTGTCAACCACTATGGATGATGACGTCTTCATGGACGGGACCCTGAGGGAGGAGGTGGAACAGAAGACCCCGGACTCCCAGGAGGAGGCGTCAGAGAAGTCAGCGGTGAAGGTCAGCCCCGGAGCTGTGAGACAGGAAGTGTCCCAGGCCATCAGTGACAAGAAAGGCGCACTCATTATCTTCAGAGAGGCGGAGGATAAACCAGACGCAGAGGGCAAAGAGATCGGTGGCTCGGATGAAAAAGAGGAACCCGTTGTCCCAGCGGAGCTGGAAACAGACAAGGAGACAGAAACTTTCAAGATAGACACGTTTGTTGTTGTAGAAGGCSAAACCGCAGAAGTCAAGGCGCAGATCAAAGGCGTTGACTCACCTAAGAAGGCGATGGCGTCGTGGATCTCTGAGGAGGAGAAGGTGGAGGTTTCAGAGGTCATCAGCGTGTCACCGATGGAAGTGGAGAACGACATTTTTGACAAACTGCTGCAAAAGACAGGACTCTTCACCTTTGAAGGCGTCCAATCTGAGCAGCCAAAGTCCAGCCTGACTCAGATTACAGTCTCTGAGACTTCAGCTTCATCATTAGCAGTGGTACTGTATGAAACTATAAGACAACTGGCTGCTCCCTCCCTTTCATTTTTCCACCCCCATTGCCTTTCCTCCTGCAGCCACAGCAGGCTTAGCAGTGTAAACAAGCCACATGCATGGCTAACGATCCTTTATAACACCTAGCATTTAGCGTCCAAACTGCTGGTTTCTGTTGCAGTCAAACCCACAGCTTTATTTTATTTTATTTTTATTTGTTGACAGCTGAAACATCCTTTAATGTCCGAGCAGCTGATTCCCACAGCCTATAAGGAAAGAAACTGGCTCTCGTTTGCTTCTCCTGTTCTGTGCAGCTAAACCATCCCTTCCTTCTACCAGTTCCCTGAAGGTGCTGACTTCATCGCTCTGGCTGGATGCCACCGCTGCAGCTTTTTTCAGCCTCATACTCCAAAATCCTTTTCCCCCTACAACCCTAAAGAGAAGTCATGAAGAAAAACAGATTGTATGGATTTTACCTGAAAGCTCTCAGTTATGTTGTAAAAACTTTCAAATCAGACGTGAGTTTTAAAGTTCTAAAACCAGATTTTTACCTTTAAAATTTGTTGGATTGGATATAGAAGCTGCATGTGTGTAATCCATACAATCATTACTTTTCAAGCTTTTCTTTCCTCCCTCGTTCCTTTACTGTTCACTGTGTCTTTTGACTGTCCAGTATTTACTTTTTCTCTCTGCTCTTGTGCCTGTCCATCCTCGTGCTCCGTTAGTCTACGCTGGGATGGGTTTTCTCCTCTGAAAAGGTGACCACATCTCTCTGATCCTTTCATCTTTTCAGGTTTTATGCAGTGGATAAACCTCTAACTTCCTTGTTTGTTTCTCATCAGGCAGGAAGTGAAACTGCTCTGTAATGTTTGGATTTGTGCTGTCGAAGTGAGGCCTGGTCTAACGGTACATTGATCATTTACAGGCATCAGCTGATCAGGAGGAGACGGCGGTGCTCGGCACAGAGACGGAGACAGTGCCAGCCAAGCAAATGGTAAATATCTAGACTATTATAAGAGGGCAGTTTTAAAACCTAGAAAATCACAAAAGCAGACAAGCTGGATGGTGACATATGCTCACAGGTCACAGTTCAGGCTGAAAAAAATCATTTTGTACATTTGTGCAGCTTATATCAACAAGTTTTTGGGAAAATACGAGTCTGCAGTCCTGATTTAATGTAAAACATGGAGAAGATGGATTATTTTTTGTGTCTAACATAAGCAGAAATGGTAAAACTGTCCAGTTACTGTAGATTAGCAGCTGCTGGCAGAGGAGGAATTTTCTCAAGGAGCAGATTTTTTCTAACTACAGTAGCGTGGGGGCTGGCCCTCCATTAGTCATGATTCTGACCCGTCTTTTTTATTTATTTCATTATGTTTCCAGAAATAGACGCCATTTGCCATGATTTTTTTTTCAGATGTGTTAGACAATGATCCATTTTTATTTTTTGTATGAAAGATTTTTATAAGTGTTACGTTTTATATAAAAATAACTAATCTGAGAGTTTTGAGTTCACCATTAAAGATTAAAAAAAGCACCAAAAGCAGTGATTTGTTACGACTTGGCTTTCCCTTCAGGGTAGCTACATTAGACACAGTTTACTCATTGTTTTAACAGTTTACACATCCGCAGCTCCGACTCATGGAAAGCTGAACCACTGCAGTTTGTCAAGATTGGCAGGAAAAATAAGCATAGCAGACGCTGGACTTGAACTGAGGTTTCGTTGCAGCTGTTCTACCAGAACTGAAGCAGATCAGCTGCTTCTGTGTGACAATTCAGATATTTGACAGGAACTTCATTTGACATCATGTTTACACTGAATGCCACTGGAGAAATCCTCAGAAAGTGTTCAAARCACAGGAATCGTATGTTGGAAAGTTTTATTTGTTAATACCAAAAGTCCGGCTCATGGAAGAGTCAGACTGAATTCCTTGGATCAACTTGTGGCTCCTTGAAGCTTTGACCAAAACTAACATGAGATGGACTTTTTTGTTTTTTTATACCCACAACAGAAAAGGATAAATTTAGCAGTTTTTCTGTTCATTTGTTCACAAATACACAAAATAAAACATGTTTTTTTTGATCATGCTACGCGTTTGTTGATCACTTTAAATCCATTAGAAATTGTTTAAAATACCTGAAGACAAGTTGAATTTATTAGACAACAATGAAATTAAAAAAAGTTTTAATTAAATTTAGTATTAGCTATATTGTTTCTAGTAAGGAGCACGTTAATTCAGCGGTAGACATTTTAACATTTGTTATTTTTTTTATATTTATGTCCATTCACTGGCATTGAATATAGAAATTATTTCTAAAAAAAAAAAAAAGATTAATCACAAAAATAGATGTATCGCGTTATAAAAATTAAATTTATGCCCAGCACTAGTTTCAAGTTTACATTAATATTTTTCTTTTTTTATACTAAAATATAAAAGTATTTTTAAATGTTGTAATTCATTATTAATTTTTCGTTGCATAATGTCACCCCCACCGACTGGAAACCGGCCCTTCAACAAACTCAAAATGGCTCGCGGGCCACCAGTTGGTATCCACAGCTGTAGTATGTTTTGTGGCTCGGGACACATTTCATTAGCGATCCAAGGGGAAGAAATGTCTCTCCTTAGATCCTCTCTTTGTGTCTGAGGTCAACTTTCATCAGGTTCTGTGGTCCCACCTCATCTTCCAGCAGTGAGCAGTTACCAAACCCAACCAAAGGACGTCTGTTTCAACTTTACTGCTGCACAAATCAGAGGAGCAGAATAACCCTGGTCCACAGACTGATTGAAAACCTTGTGATTTACATTCCTCAGTACCCTCTCCTTCACTGGATTAGAAACTTCAGATCATGGCCACATGCTTGCTTAGAGCTCAGAACAGTGCAGTAACTGTTTGTTTATTAGCATGTGCTGCTCATTTGTGTCCATTTGATTTCACGTACATCAGCGGGCCGTTATTTATAGGACAAAAATGTACCGGCAAGTGTGAATCCTTTGGCATTTCATTTCAGACTGTATACACGGGACAAGAGCACAGACAGTTCTCAGAAAAGCTGTTCCTAACTCAGGTCTGCAGGCACTTATTTGGTTCTGGTCTGTCTTTCTGTGCTGCAGAGTCCTGACAGCGTGGAGGCGGCTGCCAAAGACATGCCAGTGGTCCACACAGAGACGAAAACCATCACCTATGAGGCTGCGGAGGTAAACACAGCATGACGTCACAGTAATTCATCTGTGGAACATGCAGCTCTGTTATCAGGATTTTACACAAAACACCTTGTTTTATCAATAATGCTACTTTAAAAGAGATTTGAGGCTTTTGCTTTGATTTGAAAACATGCAGAAGTAACTAGGATACTTTATGTGCTGCTTTCAAAGTTTACGAAATGAAATAAGAATGTTTTGACCAGGAGAGCCTGCAGCGTTCAAAGACCAGCTATTGATTAAGCTTTTTTACAGTCAGAGCTGCTCTCAGTATCTCTGCTTCTTCACTGGCTTTTAAATCAATGACTGAGATTTTAGGCTGCAGGATTTTTCCACTCAGTCATTAGTGAGCTATTCCATGTCCACGAGCTAGCACTGGTCTGCATTTTTCTGCAGGTTTCCATCTTAAAAGTTCACTTTTAGTTCACRGTAAATTTATTTTATTCAGTATATTTCATTCATAAAAACAAAACAATCTATTTACTAGGGGTGTAAGAAAATATCGATACACTGAAATATCACGACATTTCATTTCCCAATAC